TCCTCGGACGGTTCCGGGCGCAGTTCGCCAACTACAGGCCGTGGGGCGCCCGGGTGTGTTTGCGCGCAGGCGGTGCCCACGCAGCCCCTCCGCGGAGTCGGGGCTTCCCCGACCCTCCCTCCCTGTGCCCGGTCCCCGGCCACTGGCCGCCCAAGCGGGAGGGGAAGCCGGGGAAGGGGCTCGGGGTCAGAAGACAGCCAGGAAGGGGCGGGCCGCCCGCTGCCACCTCAGCGCTCTACGGCCTGAGCGCACAGGCCGCCTTCCCGCCCCTGGCACGTGGGGGCGCCTCCCTCTTCCTCTCAGCCTTAATTTCCCCGTTGGAAGGCCGAGTCACTGAGGTTTCTGAGCAAACTTTTGCCGGCTTGTAGCCCATGGATAAGCCTTTTCGGATTAAGGTGAGAGCATCCTTAAAACATCCGTCCCCTATGAGGGTTTTTGACCCGAGTTTGTAATTTCTCCTCCTTTGTTTCTGCAGAACATTTGTTGAACTCTGCCCACATTCCGGGATTCTGGCAGTGAGTTAGACTACCCAGGTCCCAGGCCCAAGCAGAACCTTGAGTAGGAAGTCTCCTTTTCCCAAGAAAAGAAGTAAGCAGGATCCGTCCATACAGGTACGGCTGGGAAGATTTGGCTGTCCTCAGATCACTCCACTTCTTGTCTTCACTTTGGCCTTGCCACTAACGTCGTGACCTTGAGCAGCTCTCACGACTTTTTGGTCCTCTGTGTGATGTAAAATAAGCCAGTTTTCTCCATTTAAGACATATCATTCTGTTTAATTCAGATAAGCAGTCTCATTGAGTGCCTGACTTGTGCAAGATCTCTGCTAAGTGCTGTGATACAATGATGAGCAAAACAGTGGGCCTGCACAGGTCACCGGGGAGGCCGACCCTGAGGACACATAAGGATTACTGGATTACTGTGTGCATGGAAGCTTGCAGCAGGAGATTTAACCCCCGACACACACACACACACACACACGTCCCCACATACAAAGTCCTACACACACATTCATTCACCCTCAGCACTTAGGAAGTCATGGCTGAGTCCTAATCAGCTGGCTGGAGGGTGGGGTGTTGGAAACAGAAGGAAGGGCCTTGATAAGGGCCTTCCAGGTTAGAGTCACTGTGGAACATTAACAAACTGCAATAAACCCAATACCGCTGGAGCTTGCAGGGTTTGGGAGAAAGGCTGGCAAGAGAAGCAGGGTTTGGGTCATGAATCTTTATAAATAAACCATGATGATGATAATGCAGACTGTGGAATTCTCACTGAGGGCATTGGATATATATATTGTAATCTCCACAGCAAACAATGCTTTAAAAAATCAAAAGGTATAACTAAGAAGCCAAAAGAGGCAATCAAATGGAATACTAAATAATGCTTGATTAATTCTAAAGGCAGGCAGAAAGGAAAAAAATGAATAAAGAGCAGATGGCACAAATAGAAAACAAGATAATTGACTTAAATCCAACCATACCAATAATTACATTCAATGTAATGACTAAGGACCAGTTAAAAGATCATCAGGCTGGATAAAATAGTAAGATTAAGTATACGTTTTTGCAAGAAACCTGTTAAATGAAAAACTAAACTTAAAAGTAAAACTAGAAAAAATATATACCATGCAAATAATCATAAGAAGATGGCTATGATCCAAAAGAAGCAAAAAAAATGTTGGCAAGGATATGGTGAAATTAAAACCCTTGTATACTGTTGGTAGGAATGTAAAATTGTACAGCCACTGTGGAAAACATTATGATGGTACCTCAAAAAGTTAAAAATAGAATTACCATATGACCCAGGAATTGAACTTCTGGGTATATTCACAAAAGAATTGAAAGCAGAGTCTTGAAGAGAAATTTGTTCACCTATGTTCTTAGCAGAATTATTATCTACCACTAAAATGTGGAGGCAACCCAAGTGTCCATCAACAGATGAATGGATAAGCAAAATGTTGTATATACATACAATGAAATATTATTCAGCCTTAAAAAAGAATGAATTCTGACACATCTATAACATGGATGAACTCTGAGGACATTATGCTAAATGAAATAAGCCAGTCACAAAAAGACAAATACTGTATAATTTCACTTATATGAGGTACTTAGAGTAGTCAAAAATCATAGGGACAGAAAGTATAATGGTGGTTGTCAGGAGCTAGGAAAGGGGATAATGAGAAGTTATTATTTAACAGGCACAGATTTTCAGTTTTACAAGATGAAAAAGAGTAATGGGGATGGATGGTGTGAAGGCTGCACAACAGTGTTAATGTATTTAATACCACTGAACTGTACCCCCCAAAATAGTTAAGATGGTAAATTTTATATGTATTTTGACACATACATTCAAAAAACAAAAGAATAAGATAGCTGAAGCATTCAATATCTGACATAGACTTCAAAACAAAAAGAATTACCAAAATTTAAAAGGACATTTCATAATGACAAAATGATCAATTCATCAGGATGACAATTTTAAATGTTTGTACCCCTAGTAACAAAACTTCAAAATACATGAAGCAAAAACTGACAGAACAAAAGGAGGAAATAGACAAATCAATAATTACAGTAGGAAAATTTACTGCCTCTATTTTAGTAATAGAATAGATCAAATGACAGCAAGGGCAGAAGACTTAAACATTATAAAACAATTTAACTTAATTGACATTTATAGAACATCAGACCCAATAACTGCAGAATATACTTTAAGTGCACATGAAACATTGACCAAAACAGACCATATAGTTGGTCCTAACAAGGTCTCAGTTTCAAAGGACTGAAATTGTAGTTTATGCTTTCTAGTCACAATAGAACTAAAGTAACATTAACAAAGACAGCTGAACAATCCCTAAATATTTTAAAACTAAATATTTGCTAAATGAATTGCAGCTAAAAAAGAAATCACAAGGGAAAGTAGAGTGATCATAAAAACCCAACTTATCAAAATTTATGGGATGTAGCTAAAGCAATGCTTAGAAAGAAATCAATAGCTTTAAATGCTTCTATTTGGCAAAAAACAGCTTAAAACCATTGGTATAATCATCCGCATTAAAAAGCTAGAAAAAGAACAAATTAAACACAAAGTTAATAAAAGGAAATAAAGGTAAGAATAGAAATGAAACAGAAGAGAAACAAACAGAAAAATCAATGAAACTAAAAGCTGGGTCTTTGAAAAGATTAATACAATTGATAAACATTTACATGAACTGATCAAAAAATTGATTTCAATATCAGAAAAGAAAAAGGAGATAACATTATAGAACCTATAGGTATTAAAGAGATAATAAGGGAATGTTATACAAATTTTTATGTCAATAATTAGATGAAATGGACAAATTTTTTTAAAAGACACAAATAGCCAAAAGTGACATCAGAAATAGAAAATGTGAATAGCCCTATATCTGAAATTGAAAACAGAAGTAAAAATCTTCTGACAAAGAAAAACTCCAGGTACAGATGGCTTTACTTGTGAATTTTACCAAACATTTAAAGATTTTTTTAAAATCAATTTGACACAAACTTTGAGAAAATTGAGAAGGAAAACACTTCCCAAAACATTTATGAGGTCACTATTACCCTGATGCCAAAAGCAACAATGCACTACAGAAAAGAAAGTTATAGCAGAATATCCTTCATGAAAATATGATGCAAATTCTTAATATCAAGCCAAATCCAACAATATAAAAAAAAGATGACACAACATGGCTATATGGGGCTTCTTGCAGGAGTATGATGTTGATTTAACATTTTTTTAAAAATCAGTATAATTTGCCACATTAATACTTAAGAGAATTATATTATCTCTAGAGGTACAGATAAAAACAGCTGACAAAAACTGAACCCGCATTCATAGTAAAACTCTCCACAAACTAGGAATTGAAGGAAATTCTTCTACCTGGTAAAGGGCAGTATGAAAAATAGTTCCAGTAACATTATACTTAAGAGTGGGAGACTGAGCACAATCCTGCTGAGATTGAGAACAAGACAAGAATGTCTTCTTTCTTTTATTCAACATTTCACTTGAGGTTCTAGGTCATGCAATTAAAACAGAAAAATAAGAGACATAAAATATGAACACTGGAATTTGACACAACACTGTAAAATGATTATGAATCAATAAAAAA